GTATTACATATTGATATCTTCAAAGTGGCTTCTCATGAAAACAGATATAGACATGCAATACTGGTCAACCAAAGACTCATTGACAGTTTCTTTCAGCACAGAAATAGAAGACAGAAGAACAACCATGTTAACTATCATGTATATACATGCATACAAAATTTCTCCTTCTTAATAAACATTTGGTAATTCTATTTTGATACAATTAGTTACCTTTGTAATCTTATATATTTTATGCATTTAAAACCCTGCTCAAAAAAAGAACCAAAAAACCCTGCTCTGTGTCAGCGTCTGTAGGATTGATTAAACTCTCAAGAAAGTGCAGGACATAAGAAAGTGAGGAACTGTTATTGGGTAGACTGCTTTTTTTTTTCTTTTTAGAGCTGGGAATCCAAGTCAGGGCATCACATTTTGTCAGGCAGGCGCTGTGCTGCTGAGCTACATCCTTGGCCTCCTTTTTTTTTTTTATTTTTGACACAGGGTCTCACCATTGCAGTTCAGGCTGGCCTTGAACTCACTTTGTAGCCCAGGCTGGCTTCCAACTCGCAGTGATCCTCCTGTCTCAGCCTCTAGCCTGCTTCTAAAAGTAGCTCACCAATTAAATGTTACCAGGTTGTGAGTTACTTGCCTCTCCTCTGGAGTTAGAGTCTAGGGTCTTGTCCTCTAGAACAAAGAATTGAACAAAACAAGCAAAAAAACCAGTGGCCAAGTTTATTAGAAAAAGTTAAGTGAAGAGTGAGGGAGAAACTGGCTCTGCAGAGCAATTTGGGCCGAGTAAAAGGAAAAAAAAAAACAATAAAAGGACACCCTGAAGAAAGCAGCATGGGCTACCATGAGGAAAGCCACCATAGCAAGCTTTTCATGGTGTCTGTGTCCTTTTACACTATGTAAATCTTGAGGAAACCCAAGAGAACGTCTACATACAGGTCCTGAGAGGCAGTGCTGGGATCCTACATCTCAGGCTGATGTCAGGTGTAGGCCATCCTGTTGAAAACCTGCTCCTCTTCTGGTGAGAAGTCCAAGTGCAGAGCTTTGGGAACTGTTTTGCCCATGTGTCCAGGATCTTATCATTAACAGGTCACGCCTACTTCCCCAGCCAGTTTTGCCACACCCTAATCTCCTACCTCATTCCTGTGGTAGAAGAGTATATATAGCTAGAGACCACCTAACATTACCTCATTCACATCCCACCATGTCCTTCATTCAACATAGTTACTCTCAAAATTTCTCCCAGTAATTTCCTGTGTAAAACACATAGAGTTTTTGCTTTGTTTTTTTGTACCAGGAATCGAACTCATGATCTCAGTCTTGCCAGGCAAGTGCTTATGGCACTGAGCGATATCCCCAGCACAAAACTCACATATTACTTTTTTTGTTGTTGTTCCAGGAATCAAACTCAGGACCTTGCACTTGCCAGGCAGGCACTTGTGCCACTGAGCTATATCCTCGGCCCTAAAACACATAGAGAGAGACAGAAAATTTTGCTTCAAGGCCTTTGAATATGATCATGTATTATTTTATGTATTCATTCAACATTTATCAAGCACTGGGGCTGGGAATTTAGCTCAGGGGCAAAGTGCCTGCCTGGCAAGCGCAAGGTCCTGAGTTTGATTCCTGGTACCAGAAGAAAAAAAACAAACATTTATCAAGCACCTATTGTAGGCCTGGCACTGTGGGATAAATATAATAGTTATTAGCTCTCTCCTCAAGAACTTTATATTCTAGTAATAGAGATTAGTGAGAAGTAGACAAAATAATTTCAAATTTTATTTTTATAAATGAGCAAAGCATAGAGAACACTAGCTCACACATCTTGAGTGGAATACACAATATGTGCCAACTATTGCTCTAAGCTTTACTTTTTATTTTTTGTCCTTTTGAGACAGGGTCTCACTATGCAGTTCAGGCTAGCTTTGAGCTCACTTTATAGCCCAGG